CCAGTGCAAAAGGCGCTGAGAGATGCTAAGCTGGATAAAAGTCAGATTGACGAAGTTGTTCTCGTCGGTGGCTCGACGCGCATTCCTAAAGTGCAGAAACTGCTTCAAGACTTTTTNTCAGATTGACGAAGTTGTTCTTGTCGGTGGCTCAACGCGCATTCCTAAAGTGCAGAAACTGCTTCAAGACTTTTTCAATGGAAAACGACTGAACAAGTCGGTGAATCCTGATGAAGCGGTCGCCTATGGAGCTGCAATTCAGGCGGCAATTCTAGGCGGCGACAATTCACTGCCCCTGTTGCAGGATCTTCGACTGACTGACGTGACGCCCTTTTCACTCGGAATTGAAGTCAAAACTGACGACATGGCAATTGTCGTTGACCGCAATACTACAATTCCGGTTCAAAAAAATCAAACATTTGTGACTCAGTTTGACAACCAGACTGTTGTTGCGTTTAATGTCTATGAAGGAGAACATGCGAAAACTACTAAAAATAATTTGTTGGGCCATTTTATGATTCAAGGCGTTCCACCGGCTCCAGCAGGTTATGAAATGTTTGATGTCACTTTTGACATTGACAAAGATGGCATACTTAACGTTGCAGCGGTAAATAAAAGTACTAAAAAACAAAACAATATTACAATTGTTTTGAACTGGAAATAATAAAAGATNACTGGAAATAATGCAATTTAAAACTTTTGTTTTTAAAACTAAATTTTTAATAAAAAAACTTAAAATTTACTTAAACAAAAATGCTATATTTAAGTTTGTTTTATACATAACAAATTAAAAAAATTTACTTTTAAAATTCAAGTTGTTAAAAAACATTATTGTTTTTTATTTTACAAATTAATTTACAAATCAAGTGTTAACATTAATAAAATTAACTTAAATTAAAGTTTACGGTTAAAACATTGCAGCAACAAATTTCCTACGAAACGTTTTTCTTACTCATATGACAAACACAATAAAATGTTTTATATGTTTTATCAATTTTATATTTTTTTTATCAGCACAAAGTTCCTTGTTTTGCGGTTTGCAAAAATTTGTTTTTTACATTAAAGACAATCATTTACTCTGTG